GATAAACATGGTGGAAGGCTAGCTTACAAGCTGACAACTGGCGGCCACAAAGAAGGGAAACTAAGTTAGCTCGTGAGAAATGCAGAATACTCACCTCAGAGTTTGCTAATTGTTGTGGTTTCCCCATTCTATTACACCTGTCCGGAGTTACTAAACGCTTAGTTTTATACTAGCAATAATTCATGGCTCTTTAAATTAACATCCGAAGTACATTAGGCAGGATTCGAAAACCCCAATCCCGAAACTGTTGAATTTTCAACTAGCCGTAAATAAACAACGAAAATTACTTTCGTAACACGGGTTTAGTTCGTTGCTATTTTCGGTTGTTGAGTAATAATAAATTGGTTTCAACCATTGGAAATTTAGTTTTAAATTTTCTCTTTTTACAGTGGGATTCGTCCGATAGAACTTTAAAACTTAACTTTCAGGAGTTCAAACCAATTTTAAATTCTGTTAAATAAATTAATAATCCATTGGGTTGATCTCCCTTAGGAATTAAAATATTACTACCAAAGATAGAAAACATCAATTAAGCTGACTTCTTGAATTTTTAGAGATAGCATTTGGAACATAAAAAGGCACTTGAAGTCTACGAACAAATGCTCCCTGAGAGGAAACATAAATTTTTTTCTGACCGACCCGATTTCAGAATTAAATAAATCCAGAATTATCTTGTTTAGAGAATATGTATATATATAGAGAGAGAAATATATAAATATTGAAATACAATTGAAAGTTGTGCTGACCTACTACACAAAGTTGCGTTTTACGCAGCATACTGATCAATCATATGAACATAACTCTTATATCAAATTATTCCAATATTATATAAACATATCATTTTTTTTATCCCTTTTCGCAACACTAGTCACATACCATACCACATTAAACAATTACCGTTATACAATACATATATTTTATGAAAAAAAAGAATGTATTTGAATGCTAGAAATACATGACTAAATCACACACATATATCAACGCAATTCCTTGAATATAGATAAAAAGATAAGACAACCCTAAAATTAAAATTAAATAAATATATTGGATGATCAAAAGTAGTCACGAAATACTCATAATCAGATTTCAGTCTTCTTATCGAGAAAAATTTATTTATTTTAACGCTTTTCTAATGCACTGTGAACTAGGAGGAAGCATATAGCAAATGTGATAGTAAGGACGCATCTTTACAAAAAAGAAAAGAGTTATTTTTAAAGAAACCACCTCAGAAGAAATAAAAAAGAGCCCCTCTCTTTATTCAAAGACGAGTCCGATAATGGGGTGATTGAACCATCGCACTGTTATAACTGGCCAATGGTCGGAGAGTGTGTATCTTTGAAAAAGGCAGGATAAAGGAAGGCACGAGCTAATCAGGGAGGCAGTGAAAAGAGGACCCAAACCAACTGCCTTTATAAGTAGCTCTGAAAGGGAAGACCGGTGGCACGACCCCGAGATAGATGGCTCTGGCCTCAAAGGATCACGACAATTATTTTCCTCAGCCTGCGTCAGATTAAGGCGGCAGAAATGCCGAGTTATAGGACAATACTCCTCCCTTCTTCTTCTTTCCTGTTAGTTCCTTTTGTCCGCTCCTTCCACCTCCCTTGTAATGGAATAATAAGCTCCTCTCTCCGGATCTGTTTGCATACCGTCAGCCTTTTTTGGACGAGTCCGGCTTCCGAGTGGAGATGAGCCCTGGAGAAAAGGATTCCTCAGGAGATGTCCGACCTAAGCCTTACAACTATGTGCGGAGAGGTATGTCGGATGTTCCGTTAAAATAAAACCGGTCATGAAGAGGACTTTGATTCCATAATCTTAACGGCTGTCTCTTAATCTCATAACGGAACACTTTTTGTCATTTTACTTCTCTTTTTTTTTTTGCGATTTTCATATTCTGAAGTTATTTTTCACGTGAGGTGTTAAGCTGCATTTGAATGGATTTAGCTTTCTAGTGCATGGTTTCTTAAGTCCACTTTTCAGCTTTCTCATTCCAAACCTATTCACTTGATGAGTATTAAAATTATGACTGTATCCATGGCTCAACGAGATTAAATTTAAGAAATCTTTTAGCGAAATGGTAATCGTGATATGATTATTGTTTACTATCAATCGCGTCTCTTATTTATGCATGTCCAACATATACTGCATTAAACAAAATGGATTACTTAATATTGGTGTAGTTTTTACGATTAAAAATTTTAATTTTACACTTCCAAGGGCGAACTATGTTTTCCTAAGGTCGAATTAGGGTACGCCAGATGAACTTTTCTATACTTACTATCATGTTTAAGACTTAGTAAAAAAAAAAAATCCTGACATATTGAATATTGAACACCTAGGGGACCTCACCAACAGTACATTGTGGTCATTCCTCCATGTATCTACATTTTCATGTGATTAATGATGTTTCGAATATGAATCCTCTATCATTCCAAGCAATCGTCATAATACCATAATTTACAGAAATATATTACATTATTTTTGAGGGAGTCTTAATTTTTTATGATTTACTCAATATAATTTTATTACTTTTGAGGGATTTTAAACACCAAATTATTCAGGTGTAATTTAGTTTATTGTTTATTATTATATATCATTATTTTGGATATTGATAAATCATTGGATGCAATCAGTTGTAGCGTCAACAGATATTCTATAGAAAAGATTATTTAGTTATTGTAAATTTTGTTATGGTTAATACTGTTTACTGTTGAGCCGTCAAACATTTGTAATATGATCTTGGCCAAAATTTAATAAAACAACTTATACTTTATTTATATCCAAATATCATCAATATTAAGTCAGGAAGAATATTCTGTCGTAATCTGAGATCCTTTAGAATATATAATGAAATATTCAAAACTTGTCTTCGTTGCTATACTTTAAAGGAGACAACTGATAAAGTCATATTTTATGGTGACATCGCGGTTAGAAATCATTCCTTATGTTATTTTTTGAAGGAACTACACAAGAGAAAAACCAGTGATAAAAAGTGGTCGAGCAGGACGTAATTTTTATTTTTTATTTTTTTTCTTGTGATTCGAGCTAGTTGTATGAGGCTAATGGTAGCCGGCGAAGGAGGGCTAAAGAAAGGACTAAGTAAGAGATAAAAGGAGGCCTGGCGGGAAAGATTGACACAGAGGGAGGCGACAATAGCTGATGCCGGACAAAGCGAAGCCGGTGAAAGGGTGGCATGAAATATAGTGCGGGGGCCTGTATTAATAATTAGTTGACAGGGTCATTAATAACAGCGAGAAAGAGCGGCCATGTTGGCTATAGCCTTAATGAAGCTGGCAGTAGCCATTGTAGGGGTAACAAGCTTCTACACGGCTACTTCACCATGTCACATCGAAGCATAAATCATAGCTCCCTTCTTTATCTAGGCCCAATTATCCAACGTGAGTCGCTAAGACGTTTCTCCGGTGGGGCACCCGACCAGCGAGGTCTTGTTCAGGGCTGTCTTCATTGTGTCACGAAGCTCATAGTGGAACCACGTTCAAGTCATCCATATGAAATGAAAATGCAACGGCTGTTCGCAGTTAATGCATTACTGAAGTTCACAGAAAATAAATTCGATTCGTTCATATTATATATGTAGTTTTATACAAAACATATAAAAAACTAAACCTTTTGGAAAAATAAATTCATATACAGGGTGAGTCGGGAGAAAGGGGGCAGTCCCAAGGAGTAGTTTGCATGCAGAAAAATAATTAAAAAAATTCTTATGTTTAAAACGATTTTCATTTGTTTAAAATGTTATTGGTTCATTACATATAAAGAAAATTTCACTAGATAGTAAACAGTATTTCATACATGTTTTAACATGTTGGTTGTTCGATATTTTATTTTAATAAATGCTCAAAAATATCATCATTGGCTTTATATATTTTCCTCTTCGAAGGGCGACAGTTGTCATCCTGATCGTTTCATAATTTCTTTTATATGTTGAATTAGTTTTGTTTTTTTTGTTTGAAGGTGTAAAACTGCACTGTAATCAACGCCTTTATACGAGTTTTATGTATTTATTTTTACGTTTAACTAGTGCATCCACGGTGTCTACTGTTTGAGCCAGTACCATAAGCAATGATCCAGCACTCTAAGAGCTGAAGATATTTCCGGCCTAAGAATTGGAACATCGCTACCAATCCTGCTGTCTATTCAATTGAAATTCAATTAGTTTAGAATTCAATGGTGATTATTTCGAACAATTATTAAAATAATTTACAAAGTATTGTTCATCCTATATATTATTTCTAAAAGTTGTTTTTTTTTTTTTTTTTTTTTGTCGGTAGACCATAACTTCGTCAATTGTTCATCAAATCCAATGATTGACCACTCATTTTGAAGATATTCTTCTCCTTCACAATAGTCCCGTCCCCTCTAAATTTCTGGAAAAAAATTAATGGAGGAAAAGAAACTTTATTTGCGAATAACTCAAAAAGTATGCTTTTTTTTTACATTAAAAATAGTGTACTACATTTTTTTTCCTGGCTTTCATATTAACTTTATTATTTCTTAAAGACTTTGGTTATTTTTACATTTTATAAAAATAGGTCCAAACAAAGCAATTTGTATAAATATTTTGGTCTATTATTTATAATGGAATATTGTAATCGACTAAGGAAAAAATATCAATTCCTTCCTTACATAATACATAATACTTGTTTCCATATTGTTCTACTATTTCTTCACTAAACAATTTTTTTTGCGAATTTTTCGCACGGGCCAAATAGTGTTGATATATTGGTTTATTTGTGAAATTTTGTTTGTTTATCATTAGCCAATAAAATTTAAACAAATGAAAATCTGATGAGGAAATAAAGTGATATCCAGGAGTTTAGGTCTTTCTCCAGCTGTATGTTATGATCAACCCAAATAATGACATTTATATTTAAGGCTATATGCATTTGAAAAAAATCTTACCGAAGCATTATTTCCGCGTTATTGAATGAACTTTACTTATTTCTTTATCTTTACCTCTTGCTTTATCCTTTATCCTCCAGGACTTGCTGTTGCAGGGAGTTGGCCTCGACGTGAAGGATGGACTGCCCACCGCCGCCCCCGGCTGGCCTTACCCCTCGGTCTACCACCCCTACGAGGCCGCCTTCGCCGGCTACCCCTTTAATGGGTAAGTCATTAATTACTTTAATATGACAAGCTTATTATTAATGGCTATACAATAAAATAAATAAAAAAAAGAAGCAAATCATTATCATATTATACTTGCTAAACTTATGTATTCTGAGGATAAGACTAATATATCTTCGTACAAATAATTCTTTACACCTTCGAATATATCTCAAAGTTACGATTGATTAATAATGAAATATCAAATTATTTTATGATAGACATCGAATGTTTGATAATATCAACAGTTTTTAAATTCTCATTTGTATAAACCATGTCTTCCATGTTGCTTTTCTTAAATTTTTGTAATATTTTTATTATCCTCTAATAGTACAACAAAATATTTGATCCTTATGACATATTTTTTTTTTTATTCGCCCAACGTTTCAGTCCTTAAGTTAATATTCATGGGAACAAAAACCTTATTTTAATTATGAAACCGTTATGCTTCTGTCACATATTTGTATGTATTACTAAAACTTTGCCTCAATAAGATTATGTTTATTCGTTCAAGAATAAATAAATGTGATATAGGCAAATTTTCCCAAATAGGTTTATTTCTATTTTTTTTTTTTTTAGCTTAAATGGCTGAAACCTCGGATGAAAGGGAAAATGAAGTTGGATTTGAGAGTCAAATGTGTTGTTTTATTATTATAAATAGTATTCAAGTGTAAAGCTACTTTATTTAAATATTTAATTTTATAAAATTCTACCTCGCGATTATTCTTATTGCTGGCGGTTATTGAGTGATCGAAATGAAAATATCTACCATATTTCATGGGTTACGACTAACATATTTTTCTGTTGTGTTATACTCGTATTGCACACTACTGAAAGCTACATACAATTTTTTTTTTTTTTTTTATCCTTACCATCGTATCCTAATGTTTCTTCCACTTTTGGAAGCCTTGGCTACGTTAGATTCCCAATATATGAGGGTACTCCTCCCCGTTCCGGAACCAGTCCCAAATCACTGCTGGCGATAGGAACCGATGGAGGAGCCGGCGATAAGAGATAAGATAGCGACTGGAGATGATCCTCGCGGCCATGTTGTAAGAGTAAACTTACCAAAAGTGCCGCCATGTCAGCTGAACCGACATATTTACCCTCATATCGTGCCCTGATAGTCTCACCGCCTCCCTTCAGATCTCACCTTATCTACCGCTGTTGATAGCTCAGTCAGCTAGTCCCTACGTCTATGAAAGACCCCACTGTGTTAAAGATCCGGTCTCAAATCAAAAACCGATGATATACAAATTATTACTTATAAGTAAATAAGTAATCTATGTGTGTTTAGATCACAAGATTCGTATTAAAATAAGACGGTAGACATACTGACTACATATGAACAAGGATAACTTTGATGCGATGTAATAAACTTGAAAAAATAATGAATATATTTAAAAGTAGCTTCTGTCATTAGAAAGAATTGCGTAAGAAGAGAAGCCAAGTAAATAATCCCTTGTATAATGCAATTTCATTGCGCACCTATTTCACGCCATAAAAAAAACAAACAAACATTTTGTTCTGGACAGGGCAACAAGAACTGAGCGTGAATACTACCAAAAAATTGGACCAATTTATCAGTTCTCTTATTGTTCATCGTTCACGGTTTTTTATTTATTAAAAGCGTATATTTTAAGAATTCAAGATGTATTGAATTGAAAAATATTTTTAATGTAATAGCTAACTTGTTCGCAATATTTACATGTTTTAGATTAATAATTAAATTTACTACTGCGAAACATATTCATCATGTGAATTTGATTATGATTTGATTCTCTATCTGCTACAGGAGTGCCCATCCGCTCCCCTAAAGGTCGATGGCGCAAGAACCTATCCCCCTCCTCCCAAGATATTTATTGCTTACCTTTTCTTAAAAACTGAGCAGCTCAGGTAGAATTAGAAAAATGGTAGATTATATACAATTACATTTGCTGCGGTATGTTCCATGTTTTTCCCTTTTTCCTTAGTCTGAAAATTCATAACCCCATCGAAATTTGCCCCCCTCTAAAATTTAAAACCCGTCAAAATATGCCGCTCTCAAAAATTTTGATGCCGCAACTTGCGCCATGAAACCACCTTCTGGGCATCAATGATCTGCTGTATTTCTTTGTTAAATCACTTACTTAATTTGGAAGTCCTCTACTTCGACCGCCTACTTTTAACACGACACAGAAAGAACTAAATTTAAGTTAATTAGACAAGCATCAAGCTTCGATTACGATTTTATAATAAGTATTGCTAACAATGTACTTGAATTATGATGATTTCGTCAAAAGATATTCCCATTGTTTCAACTGGTTTACGAATGTTCCTTATTGTACAACGTTGTCGTTATATCTCAAATGCAACATTTATTTTTCATTTCCAAGATATGCCAAGACTTCTTGAGAACTTAAAATACCAACAACCTGTGGAGAAATTCACGCCTCATCGCAAGGGTATTTTAAAAATAAAATAAAAATAGTTCTGGGATTTCTTAAATATTAGAAAAAAATCTTCTCGTTCCATAATTCGTCTTATCTAACGTTATAGAGATCGGGTGTATAACACATTGAATTGCCAGAAAAAATTTAGGCTTTCTATCCCACATAATTTGAAAGGCAATTAGGTCATGTAGGCCACAATTTTAATGACATATCATTAGAGAAACCAAAATACGCTATTTTAAGGATTTTACTTCTTATGTTATCTGTACATCGACTAGCTTATATTTAAATTTATTATACTTAAGAAATAATTGGTTGGTTAAGACTGTATAATAAGATTATATTAAATAATTAATTATATTTTTTATGATTTGTACTGTTTTTCTGAACATTATCGAAAAATTTATAATCTGAGAATAAATTCTGAGGTTTATCCCAAATTAGAATTGATTGGGCTCACTGTGCAACTTTTCGTATCACCTTTTGACACCGAAGACTTTATAGATCGATTCAGCGTTAAGATTTAAATGATGTCTGTTAGAAAAGCGGTTAAAAAAAAAACATTTTTTTTTACTATTGATGTTTGTCTAATAATTAATTGTGTATTGATTAGTTTAAAATGTAACGTGGTGTAGCAATTTTTTTTTGTAGACAAATGCATTAAAAACAAGTATTTGAAGAAGCACTTACGCAATCCTTGTCAACGTTTTTATTGGATCTGAATTAACATATAAATTTATTATTTATGATAATTTATCCTTGCCTGTTACTTGATTATACATAGATTTAATCTTTTCTTGAAGTGTAGTTTCATACACGACTCATTTTACTTGTAATCCTTCATGTGCCTTGTTGTAACTTTGGTTGTATCTTTTTAAATTGAAGAATTTTTTTGTCATGTTCAGTTTCAAAACACTTTTTGAAGAGCAGTATATCCTTGGAATTTCCCTCGATTCCTCAAACAGGAGATCGTGGCCGTAAGGAGCCAGGGCGGTGAAGATGAGGAGGAATGTTTAATCTTGAAATGAGACCACGAAGCGGAATGGTCGGGATTTTATGCTCCCATCGACTCTCTGTAGTCAAGACCGCCACTCTGATTTATATCGCCGCTCTCCACCAATGAGATCCTCAGCCGAGGTTCATATACATATAGATATATCGGGGCCTTAACGACCGGGAAAAAATAGAAAATGGGACGGACACGGGAGGATGAGAAATAAAAAAAAAAAAAAGGTTAAAAACTTGTTGAGTAAAGGGAAACTTTATCCGAACCATAGTTGGCCCTGCTTTCCCCCTCCAACAACCTGCCCCTTAGACTTTTTACTTCACACCTTTTCACAATCACCTAACCCAACATCCATCCTAAACCACTGAGCTTAATAATTCTTTAGAGCGTTTTAGTTCACGCTTCTCTGTTTTGCGTTTTTTTCTTTTATATGTGTATTTATTTTTTATTTTATTTAACGTAATTCTAGCGTAATCACGTCCCTAAAAAAAAAAAAAAATAAAAAAAAATAAACTGTTCCCTGAATTGATTATAACCTATAAAGATTTTTCTCATAAAGGTCTTTCATAACTTAATATCCTATCATGAAATGTGAAATTTTTTTAGTAAAATAATATAAGCGTGAAAAGCTTATTTTTTATCACACAAATCTTAATGTTTCGTTAATCTAAATATTCAATTAACATTAAGATAAATTTATGTACGAGGCTAATAATTTTTATTAATATTTATATTTTACAATTTATTAATACGAAATAAACTAATTAAATCATAAAATTACATATTCTATACGAAACAACTTTTCATTTCTAAAACTACGATTAAGCTACCCTCTTAATTTACTTTTTCTGTCTAAATAAAATTTGCAATGGATTATAAGTGTAATCAAGTAATTAATATAAAAAAAAAAGAAAAGAAAATGACTCTCTTTTTTAGCTATAGCCGTACTGTAATGCATATTTTATTTTCTAAAACTACAATAGCTTCATGAATGATGGAAAAGTTTGGAAATAATAAACTGTTTCAATTGCAATTTAAAATTTCTTAGATGGTAAGTTAATTTAATTATCATTGTAAGTCAATAAATTTAAAACAATACAGCGATATTTTATTATCTTCATTGAATACAATAAGGTTACTTGGTAAATATGTACTGGTGTAGCGAAGGTACAAACAAAATTATTAATTAAAATTATATTGTAGAAAAACTTTTTTTTTTTTTTATTTCTTAATTATATTTACAACTATATAAAAGAAATACATTTAATAAATTTGAACATATGGATATAATGACGTGAAAATACTTGTTGATAAACTACCCAATGGTGGCATCTAATGATAAATCTACATTAGGAGATCACGGGGCCATTTTCTTTTTAGATGCCTCCGAGGGTTATCAGGAATTGAAGAGGAAGCAAGGTTAGAAACCAGAGGGTTGGGATGATTCTGAAGTTTATTATGGAAGGATAGGTATCTGGATTGGGCCAGATCTGAAACATTAAGATCATTATGGATGGTTTTCTTTGTAATACAAATAGAGAGCATTAAGGATTTTCCGAAGGA